ATTCTTACAGGCACTGCCAGCTATGCTTGGTGTTGGAAATCTAAAACGAGTGCACCTTATATTGACAGACGGAGATGCAAGTGAGTATAATGCTGTTGATCAATCCATCTTTCGTTATGTGAAGAATCGATTCGGAGCAGATGTGGGCACCACCTCATAGAAAAAACATTCTTGAAACATGGCCCAAAAGATAATGAGGTGAAAAACCAATCTAATGAACAAGCCATTCTACTGGAGATCCGGAGATGGGTTAGATCTTGGATTGACGGGACTTCCTGCCTCAGTAAGAAGGAGTATGAATTGTCCAAGGCTCTCCTGCTACAAGAACTCCAAACAAACTCTGTACTCAGGCGATTTGTTGGAGACAAGGCTGCAGAAAAATGTTTAGGATGGATCCTTAATCACATTGTTACACTCAATGACCAGTAGTTTGCCTTTCATTGCAAGAACAAAATTTGGTGCTTACATGAGTACACTACCAATGCTACTGAGGGCATGAAGTATGCAGTGAAGCACAGTGGCATGTCAGCACAGCCACAAAATGACATGAAGACCTCTGCCTCCAATATGTCAGCACATATGGATATCAAAAGTCGGGACCGGGAGTATACCCAAATGCAAATGACCAACTCTACACCTTTGTATTTTGCAACAGACTCAAGGGTTCACAATATAGAATGCGTGAAAGCGCTTGTACCAATTGCCAATTCCACCATCATAGAACAAATGGAGGAAGCTATTGACAAGTACACAGTTGTACAACTATCAAGAAAAGCCTTCTTTGTAATTTGGGCAGTCCCCCCTAAAGGTGGTGTCCAATGTCCAGCAGGTTTCAAAGGACGACCAAAGTTTTGGACTGCTCACAAGTTGGAAGTTGAAACATGCACAGGCGACAGATCCAGGGTAGTGCTTATCTGTTCTTGCGGTTTTGGACATCAGTATGGTATTCCCTGTAGGCACTTGTTAGCCGTGGAAGGGAAGTACGACATCAACGATTTTGCTTGTTGCTGGAGGTCAGATTATGTCTTCTATGCATACAAAGAGGGACATGAGGCCATCACCCAAAGTTTTGATGAGCTGCAAAAGAGGGAACATTTTGGGATAGTGGTGAAGACGCTATCTTTGTTGGACAATATCTTAAGCACAGACCGAACTACTATCTTTCCCTCTGTATTTACAAAGGCAACATGTTGCAAATCATAGAAAAAAATTATTTCAGAAACGAAACAACACGCATTCCGGCAGAACCAACCAGTCTGCCTCGCGTAGCGCTAGTACTGAATTTACGTAGAAAACTTTCGAATTTATCACCAAGCCAACCATTCAACACCGGCGCACCATGGGCAAATCTATCAACGCAAAGGCATCCTCGGCGATGACAAAAAAGTCGGGCGTGTCTAAGATGAAAACGTCCTCTGGGGCTAAAAAGGCCGTCAAAAAACGAGTGGAAATTGACCTACAACAGCCTAAAGACAGGGATCCCATCGATTCCAAGATGGTGTCTGAAACCCAAACTGACGAGACGCGTGTTATCGACGACAATGAAGCGCAACGCATGGCTGATGAGATTGAGGCGAAACGAATCGCCGAACGAGAAGCTCGCAGGAGTGGACATTACGACAGCATTGCTCCAAACCTGTCTGAGTGGTGGATGAAGAATTTATATTCAGGAGATGCTGTCGACGAAGCATTGGAACGTCATGACCGTATCCATACGGGTAACGCGCTTTTTATGGCATAGGAAGAACGTTTTCCTGCTGCTTGGAACCAACCCTGCCTCCGGTATGACGATCCATTTAACGACAATACCGGGACAACAACTTGTGAAGATCGTTTTGCTCGCATTTTCACATCGATGAATTCGGATAATAGTCAATTGACACAGTACCTCATTGCCGCATTTGACAATGAAACGATGGAAGTGAATCCGTCTGAAGAAATCTGGTCTTTACGTATTTCGGCTATGCGGGTTTCCTTACAAAATCCGTTTTCCTTTTTCGGTATTGATGAGTTTGAGGGCAAACCGGACGACAACCATTTCTTTTCCGGCGAAATGTCCAATCCACGGCTACGCTTGGAGCATCCCTTGGTGAGCTTTTGGTTAATTTGCTCCGAGTTGTTTGATTATCCTTGGATTAATGAGTTTCTGTTGGAGTATTACGACGACCCGCCATCCGCAATTGTCGACGCAATCAAACAAACAAGAAGGGGCAAGTCTAT